CCCGCCACCTTAGGTGTATGTGGCTGGCACCTTAGCCACTTGAGCCACAGGCGCCGAGCCGAAACAAACTCTTGATGGCAAATTAGACCCAGTGACAATGAGCGACCACACCTGTCCTGAGGAGGGTCTGGGATTCTGCCCAACATTGTAGGTGAAATTTCCCTGTATTGTTACCAGCTCCAGGTATAGTGTTGAGTTAGCATTGGTGTCCACTGTGGGGATGTCTAATTTACAGATCACTTGGAGAATTGAAATTCTTTTTAAAACCTGTGGAGAAATGCCAAATTAAGAATCAACTGCCTAAAGATAGAAGGGCAGAGAGACACCTTCACTCGCATCTATTAATAAAGACAGCACCACACTGGAGAGCTGCCCAGCTGTGTCCTATCCCCCATGGCTCTGGAACTTCTCACTGTACTTGCTTATGCTGAAGTAAGAAATTAGAGAGTAAAATTTCTGAATACATAAATTATAGACTGTAGGTAATATGTATCTAGGAAGGTTGTGTGCTTTTTCACATAAAGCCTTTTAAAAGTTATGTGTCGGCCAGGTGCTGTAGCTCACACCTGTAATCCTAGCACTTTGAGAGGCCAAGCCAGTGGATTGCTTGAGCTCATGAGTTTGAAACCAGCCTGAGCAAGAGCAAGATCCTGTCCTGCTAAAAGTAGAAAAACTAGGCTTGGTGCCAGTAACTCACTGAGTTGGGCATCGGCCACATACACCGAAAGCGGCAGGTTCAAGCCTGGCCCGGGCCTGCTAAAAGAACAATGACAAATGCAATCAAAAAATAGCCAGACGTTGTAGCAGGCGTCTGTAGTCCCAGCTATTGGAGAGGCTGAGGCAAGAGAATTGCTTAAGCCCAAGAGTTTGAAGTTGCTGTGAGCTGTGATGCCACGACATTCTACCTACGGCGACATAGTGAGACTCTGTCTCTGTCTCAAAAAAAAAAAAAAATTGAAAAACTAGCTGGACGTAGTGACAGGTTCCTAAAGTCCCAGCTACTTAGAAGGCTGAGGCAAGAGGATCACTGGACCCCAAGAGTGTGAGGTTGTGAGGTTGCTGTGAACTATGACACCACAGTCATATGGCCTGGGTGACAGAGTGAGTGAGACTCTGTCTCAAGAAATAATTTTTTCAAAAAGGTTACATGTGTGTCATGGGAGCCCATATGAGGGTAAATGTGACCAGTGCACAGAGCGAGTGTACAGCTGAGAGCACACCTGAGGGTGGCCACTGTTCCCAGCTGCTGGGTCCAGCTAAGACCTTGTCCTGTTGTCCTCCACGGGGAGCTTTCTTCAGATACACCATGGCTCCTTGGCACTGGGTCTCCGTCCCTGTCTTTTCTCCACAAAGAGCCCTCCTGGACTTTTCCTTTTCCCCTTACTGTAACCATTTTATAGTGTTCTGAGGTTATCTTGTTCCTGTTTGTTTCCTTTCTAATACTTTGTCACTTGCAGGCCATTCCTCTCCTACCTGACCACTGCTGCCCCAGCTAGAATTTCAGCTTCCACCTCCTTCAGTGCAGGGCACATCTTTTTCATTCGCAACCACCTTGTTGGTGCCTCATGCAGGATCTTAATCCCTGGTTACTGGCACACAGCTTCTGAGACCTTGGAATCTGCTGTGCCATAAAGAGCATCTCGTGTGCCAGTGAGGTAGCTGAGAGCTGGGGGTCTCTGCACAGCTTCAGGATGGGGCTGGTCTCGAGAAAGACCAAGCAGGATTTGAGGGTTGGGTCTCATAGTACCCCCAGACCTCAATAGGAGAGGGGTTGAGGGAGGGAGCAAGCTGCCCACCAGTGGCCAGTGATTTTGTCAGTTGTGTTTAACATGACGATACTTCTGTGAAAAAACTTAAAAGGGTCTTCTGGGTTGGTAAGCAGTCCAAGGCTCTGTGAGGGTTACAGCATGGAATCTGAGCATCCCAATCCCTCCTACCCCACCCTAGGCTTCCCTTTCACGTTCATGAGCTTATATCCTTTATAATCTGGTAATAATAAGGAAAGTGCCTTCCTGAGTTGTGCAAGCCATTGTGGCAAACTGTCAAACCTGAGGGGAGGCTGTGGTCGTACCCGTGACACCCTGGGACTCAACACTGTTGTCTGCAGTGGTAGCTGTCTTGTGGAACTGAGTCTTTCCTTCTGGGGTCTGACACTGACTCCAGATAGGCAGTGTCGGAGCTGCATTGAACGTGCGCCCCAGCTGGTGTTGGTGTGAAGTGTGAGCAAAGACACCACATGTTTGGGGTTAGGAGTGTGAGGAGGATCCTTTGCTAGTGCATGAGACTTTTGGTGACTGCATGGCCACATGCAGATTTTTTTCTCTTACCTATGGCTTTCATCTGTTACAAATACATTATTGTTGTAAAAGAAAGAATAGACAGTTACCTGAAAGAACACACTAGTTGGCAGATTGCACAGAAGGATGTCGTGGGCTGACACAGCGCAGTGAGAAGTGGTCCATGCTGCTGTGCCTCTGTGAGTTTCATCCTTAGATGAACTTATTTAGTTGATGGTGTCTGCACAGCTCTGCTACACTGCAATTTGAAATATGTCCCCTTTCAGGTATGAAAACAGAATTTTCAGAAGATCCCTTCTGTTTTTGTTCCACCAGTGACACTACCTATGGTGCTGTAGTCCTGGAAAGTATGCAGCCACAAGCAGAGGAGGCTGGGGTGCAAAGACATGGCAAACCAGTATGTTAGTGGCTTGCTAATTCTGTTTCATGAAAGAGAATAAATGTTTTGAAAACATTAAACTAGCCAGGTGCAGCGGCTCACGCTGTAATTCTGACACTCTGGGAGGCCGAGGCAGATGGATTGCTTGAGCTCACAGGTTCAAGACTATCCTGAGCCAGAGCAAGACCCTGCTTCTAAAAATAGCTGAGTGTTGTGGCGGGTGCCTATAGTCCCAGATACCCAGAGACTGAGGCAAGAGACTCACTTGAGCCCAAGAGTTTGAGTTTGCTGTGAGCTTTGACGCCACAGCACTCTACCAAGGGTGACAAAGTGAGACTCTGTCTCAAGTAAATAAATAAAATTTATAAAAAAAGAAAACTTTATTCTGAAAGTCATCAGTGTAAAGCAGCCTTTTTAGAAATGTTCATTTTTTCCTTATTGCATATGTAGTACTTGTGTATTTTAAGAAAACTACACCCTGTAGATAAACAAAGTGTCTCAGTTCTGCCCCCTGGAAATAATCACTGTGTTCTCTGCAGACAGCTTCCCACAGTCTCTGTGTGTGTTAACATGGCCATAGAAAGGGAATCCTTGTGTTCTGTTTGTAGCATTCTTTTATTCATTAGTGTAGCATCTTCATCACATTAGCATCTCACATAGTTTCTCATGACTACAAAATATTTTTTTGACTGGATGTTCCACTCAGTATCAAACTCAGTATCAATGTAAGATCTTTATCTTACATTCTTTTGCTGTTCAAACATTGGTTTGCTGTTCAAACTCAATATTGGTTTATATATATATATATATATATTTTTTTTTTTTTTTTTTTTTTTTAGACAGAGTCTCACTGTGTCATCCTCGGTAGAGTGCCATAGTGTCACAGCTCACAGCAACCTCCAGTTCTTGGGCTTAGGGGATTCTCTTGCCTCAGCCTCCTGAGTAACTGGGACTACAGGCTCCCGCCACAATGCCCGGCTATTTTTTGTTGCAGTTTGGCTGGGGACAGGCACAAACCCTCCACCCTCAGTATATAGGGCCGGCGCCCCACTCACTGAGCCACAGGTGCTGCCCTGGTTTATAGTTTTAATTATTTATTCAACAACTTCTTTTATAACATGCTCAGTAATATTTTGCTAACATAATTTCTCAGCTTCTTAAGAAACTGGAAAAGGGAGAGGAACCAACCACAGAGAAACCCAGAGAAAGAGAAGAAATTGATGTTGGAGATGGAAAACACGAAGCCCGTGCTGCTTGTACAGTTGCAAAAGCTGGACCCTTGGAGAGCTGCCTAGAGGAGCCCAGGGAGAAGTGAGTGTGTTCTTGTGCTCACACCTGCATCAGCCCAGGAAGAATCGGGCATTTCCTTGTTACGGCCACAATAGCATTAAGTCCTAGGGACACACCCTTTGTCAGTATGAGCATTTATATTTCACAGTATTCTCAGAAACCAAAAGGATGCTAGGATATACCGGTCCATGTTTTTCTTATTGTTCAGGCCAGGAAGTTGGTGAGGTCACAATTCTTCAAATCAGGGAAATCTCTCCTATTATTTTCTTAGCTGTTTATCTTCTTCTTTCTCCCCTGAAGCCTTCCTCTTACACCCATTACTGCATGTCAGGTCTATAGGGTCTGTCTCCCCAGCTGTCGGGTGGCAACTGTAGCTCCAAAGGAGTAAGGTGCTGGCCCCATATGCTGGAGGTGGCGGGTTAAAACCCAGCCCCAGCCAAAAACTGCAAGCAAACAAACAAACTTGTATCCCAAGCTGTCTTCCTTTGTGATTTTTATCAATTGCCATTTTTCTCCCTGTTTTGCAATCTCTTTCCTGTTTGCTCTTCTAGCCTCTTTTACTTTATTTATAGAATTCTGTCTTTTAGGGCTGGAAAGCCTTTCATGATAGAGAATTTTAAGTTTTAAGTGCTGTCATTTTTTTTTTAAGTTGTTCTCACACATGCCCCCAGTGATGGTCTTAGGTGTGTAGTCTGTGTCAGTCCTGCACCTCTGTGTGTCTCCTTCTCTGGACACAGCATCATCTGCCCACTGGGCTGGATGCTGGTCAGGAGGGGCCTGTCGGGCAAGGCCTGACCCAAGGCACTTGCTTATTTGCTGCATCTGGACACCCTAAGTGTCCTGGTACCTGGGTCCGTTGTTCAGAACAGTGGTATGAGTGGATTTTATATTTTTTATTTTATTTACTTATTTTTTTGAGACAGAGTCTCACTATGTTGCCCTCGGTAGAGTGTTGGTGGCGTCACCGCTCACAGCAACCTCAAACTCTCTTGGGCTTAAGTGACTCTCTTGCCTCATCCTTCTAAGTAACTGGGACTATAGGCGTCATCCACAGCGCCCGTCTATTTTTTGGGTACAGTTGTCATTGTTGTTTAACAGGCCCTGGCTGGGCTTCAACCTGCCACCTTTGGTGTATGTGGTTGGTGCCCTACTCACTGAGCTATGGGTGCTGAGCCAAGTACTAGTGGATTTTAGTTGGGAGGGTCAGTGGCTGCCAATTTCCCAGAATCACAATGATTTGAAGGATTTCTTACTGCCTTTTTTTACAGATTTTCTGAGAAACTATTTTTCCCTATTTTGGGGAAATATTTCCCTATTTTTCCCTATTTTAGTTTATTTGCTATCTTTATAAAATCAGTTTACATACAGTTATCAAATTCATGACCTTCTAGCACTGTGTTTACATATGTTTCTCTTACTGTTTAGGGCAGGTCAGGGCGTGCTGCCACACTCCTGGCACAGTTCACTTTGCTTGTGGATCTGTAGTGTCTGGTGGGGTGGGGCAGTGCACCATCTGCGGTGTGAGGACTTTTCCCCAGTCTGTGGAGGGAAAGAGTTGAAGAAGCAGATGAGTTAAGCAGCCATTCATTTATTTACTATTCATGTAATATTTTAGTATGTGCATAAATGTAATTAACCTGACATCATTAAATTTTAGTTAATTTTAGCTGTGCTTAGAGCAGAAAATCAAACTGTTAGTACCAGGGATGCATCCTGGCGCATGCACCTGGCCTCCTGGGACAGATACTCATATGCTTTCAGTCTCATTACTTTGAGAAAAAGAGGAGGGGGATGTTATATTTACCTTGGAAAGTTATTGAGAAGTAGAAATAAATATATAAAGTATCTTAGCAGTAAGGCTTATCACTCTAGTATAATGGCAAGTTCTATTGTTACTGTTAGTGAGTTCTATTGTTACTTTTACTATTTACTTGTCCATCTTTCCATCAGTTTTCTGTTGAATGCCTGCTGTATGCCAGGCACTGTATAAGCTCAGCAATGCAGTGCTGAGCACAGCTTCTCTATTCCCTGCATTTTGGGAACTTATAGTCTAGAAAGGAAGACAGGTATCAATAAACAGTGTACGTAAGGTCTCTGGTCCTTTGTGTTGAATCACAGGTCACAAAATGTCAGTGACAAAGAGCACAGGGACATGGACAGAAGGTCTCGAGAAAAAGAACCGGAAGCACAAAGACAGCTTACGGACGACAACAGGAAGCACAGAGCTCACCGCCAGCTGGGCGGGCTCTCGGGGAGGAGTGAAGATGAGCCAAGATGGGCGAAAGCATCTGCCCCAGACAGAGAGAGGGAGGTAGGGTGGCCAGCACGGCAGCGCCCCCGGGGAGGCCGCAGAGAGACCCAGAAGAGGGCAGAGGTGTGATTATAGTCCCGCACCCAGACAGGGACAGCTGGGAAATAAGGTCTTTATTAAACCCTAAAAGAAAAACTCTTTTAAGTGTCTTGAGGTCCAGTTTTGTGCTCTGGCGGTATGAGGGGTCCTTGTGCTATCTTGGGGAACTTAGGACGTTGAGGGGGTCAGTGTTTACTAGAGCAGTTACTCCTGAAAGTCATGTTCTACAATGACACTGGAAGTCATCTTAGAGATTCAAGTTATTTTTCACCAGGAAAAAGGATTTTATTTGGTATAAAACTAGCATGTTTATACCATTTGCTTGAGAATAAGGTAAGTTTACACTCACCCTTAAAGACAAGAAAATACTGATGATCTTTCTTTTACGTTATTAACAACAGTCTGATTATTACTGAGTAATCAAATGGCCCACAAACACCCATAAGTTGAATTCTGTACAGACAGTGAACCCACTTAGCCCAACAAATGGCTTCTCCTTCAGAAGTTTGAAGTTAGTTTTTGTTCAGGTCACTTTTTCCCAAGAAGCATCACAGGTGGTATCATTTCCTGGCAGGGCCAGCCCACACCAGGGCTCCCTGAGTTGAGGGGCTTTCAGGGTTCCAGTTCATACCTTCCTCCTTGGCCCTGGACCCCTGGCAGTCCCTTGTCCATTCTCCATCTCTGAGCTTTTCATCGTTTCAAGAATGCTTTCTACATGAACCAAAACTAATATTAATATTACTAATCAGCAGTTTCCACATGGATTAGTCCTGCTTCCCATCTCACACTGGGGAACTGTGAATGTCCTCTTTTTAGAAAACACTCACTGCTCTGTTATTAGATTCCTGAAGGTGCAGGAGTAAGAATGAGAACTGAAAAAAGTATACAGAGAGCAACAGCTGCCAGGCCTGAGGAAGAGGATGGGTATTCCTGAAGCCCAGCACCAGAGCTCAACAGACAGACAAACACACCACACAGAGACATAGACACCCACATACACACCACACACACAAGAGGAGTATCATCTTGTCATACTTATCATAATAGGTTAATATTAGTTAACATTTTGCATTGTCGTAAATTAAGTTGACAGAGATAGAATAATTCTTCTTTAGTAGTAAAGTGGATCAGTTCATTGTATTAGATCTATACATATTATCCAAACTGCTTGTATTCTTTCTTACAG